CAATCCTTATAGCCATCCAAATGAGAGTAATCTAAACACAACCCAGCACATTGCTCTACAGCTTAAACCAGCCTAAAATCCAATGCATTTCACAACGCTATTTTCTTTTATCCTCACTTTAATGCTTATGATTAACATCCACCTCAGCATTTTCGTTCCCAGGAAAGTTCGTACACAGTTATCTGACCAAGGGTTAGACAAATTAGCATCTAAATACAGTATGTACAGGTGATGTTGCCAGAATGAGAGGGATTTAAAGCCAACCTAGGTGATTCAGAGCTGTGGATAGACTGCTGACTTCAGTTGTCCATACCAGTCCATTAGTGGACTGTAATTATTTGATAGCAGAGGGGAGGCTACCCCCTGATGCTGTTTTTCTCCAGCAGCATGGCTTCACTTGAATGATGCCCTTTGGTCTTTAATCACTAAACTATGCTAGCCCCTGGCATAAAACTACTGCAGTGAAATATGATTCTGATGGCACTGTTTCATCCCACTCATGTCTCAACTTAAAATATTCCTCAAATATGTTCTAGTCCTGCTGCATATCTGCGAAGCTTTGCCCCACATTGAAACACACTTTCAAACGCATACTGGGAAATTAATGCGCTGGGGACGAGCAAAGCCAAGACTCTCTATGTGTTTGCATTGCAAACAAGCTGAACCATGTGGAGGGAAAATGAATGCCATTTGTCGAGACTAATTAATAAAGAACATGCAGATGTGCAATTGGGGAGGATTTGTTTTTTGGTAGCAGTTACATGCTCTCGCGGCTTAATCAAGCAGATAATGGCAACTCATCTGAAGGGAGATTACAGAATTGGAAAGTGAGATGAAAATGGTAAAGACCGCATTTATATACCGCTTTTCCAGTCTTTGAAACCCCTCAAAGGGCTTTTACATATACAAGTCAGCTTTCATACCCATTCACAGACATTCATACACAGGCAGAGGCTGCCATACAAGGTGCCACCTGCTCAGGGAGACTAACATGCAAACACATACATAGCTTGCCATGCCATCAGGAATTTAGGATAAGTATCTTCCATAAAAGACTCAACATTGGAGATCAAGCTAATGGCCTTCCAATTTGAGGATGAAAATCTACCTACTGAGCCAGAGTAGCCTCTTAAATGAAGTTATTTTCTGTAGATATTATTAAGATTTAAGGGGGAAAGCATATATGGATAAGAAGGCAATGAGAAAGTTGTTTTTTTCTGTAGATTACATTCAGCTCTTATTATGCTGCAATACTGATATCATATTTACAATTGTCCAATAGCTTTGAAAACTACCTTTTGATAGGATTAGTTACAAATTATGATGCTTATGCACATATTTGGACAGATGTGCTACATGGAGTATAACGCTGCTCATCTAAGCTGCTGTATAAATAGAAGAACATCTGCCTTCATTAAAGCAAGTAAATTATTTGCTGTACCACGGCTGAATATCTCATGATCAATATGCTTGACCTCAGGTTCTCTGTCTGTCTGTTCTCCTTTGAGGTATTTCACTCAGCCAGTCACATGACAGCATGCCCGTATTGTTGAGGCTACAAGCCACATGCGGATGGCCTACAAACAGCTTCCACATCTTTCAGAGGCATCCGACATTCCTGCAGTTTGAGGCTGGTCCTACTGGAGAACATCTGTCTTACGGTGACCCGGAGAAATTGGAAATTGAGCTTTAAGAAAGGGAAAAAAACAATTTGTGTTGGCACTATCTCCAGGAAACACGGAGAAGTTGGAAGTTCCAAAAACACCATCTGGTCTCCACTTTGAACCAACCCATCAAAAGCTGTCGGCCTACTATAACACCAACCCCCCCTCGTTCATCCTGTTGTTTTCACTGGAGCTGCGATCAGCCCTACTATCCCCATTTCCCTCTATTCCTCCATCCCTCCTCCCCTCTAACCCTCCCCCTTGATGAAACAGAGGAATGTCTTGCATATTGATGCGATGTTCCTTGATGCGTCCAATGTTCCCGCTCAGCAGCTCATGCATTAATACATCAAAGCGGCAAATGGACTTCTTTAATAAGTAGATGCATGTCATATCTGAAGGGTCAAAGGTTAGAGAATCGACAGTCCCTGATTCACACCAAAGGCATTGGCTGGCAGACTTTTGACAGCTTGTGCCCCATCGCAGTCTTCACTTGTGGGAGATACAACTATCCAACAAAGTGCTCGTCTAACTTAGAAATAGATGTAAAGTCGTCATGACATTACCCCTTGCTGAGTTCGACTGAGTTTTTTTTTTTAGGGAAGGTCCGTTTAAACGGCTTACTCATTTGAAAAAGAACAGTAATTAAAAGCCAGATTGACACTAATGAGCATTTGTGTCCTTAGAAGTCTCTTGGCGGGAGGACCAGAGAAAAATGGCTGGCATGATTGAAAAGTACAATATAGGAAAAAATGTTGTGAGAAGGCATGCAAATGATCTTCTACACATACCCTGTGTCTATTAGCCGTGCACGCCCTCCAGATCTCCCTCTTTTCTTATGTCTGCTTCTCTCAGTTCTCTCCAGCTTTTTACTAGATTTTATTACCAGCTCCACCAACACCACATCTGTCATTTTGCCCCTGAGCTTCCCTTTGCCCACATTTTTGTCCAAGCAATTAACCACTTGCGATGCTGAAAACACCTTCTAGGCTCAAGGCATGGATAGGTTTTTCTCTTTTATTATCACACCCACACGCCCTTTCATATGCACACATACCCGCCTTAAACATGGGCCTACACATGCAAATACACACACAGATGGCTGCTCAGTACCTAGAGAGACTGGCTGGTTCACTGTGGCCTTCACTCTCCAGGATCTACAATGTTGTTGTTGTCTTTACTAGCCTGGGGAGAACTGGCACAGGTGGAGCTCACAGATTTGAAAGTGGTAGGGTTGTTGTTGGTAGTGGGGGTTGGGGGGCAACTGTCTAGGAGGGAAATAAGTCTCCTGGTGGGGAATTTGGTGTGTGTGAGTAGGGAGGTATACGTCACCTGGACCACCTCCCTCTCTGGGGCTTTGTGGCAGCTGAGCCAGCCCAGAGCATCTGCACAGCCACAGGGTAAAAAACATTTTTGCCACACTTCATGCCCACACACACACATACACACACACGTTCACACTCCATAACTATGATGTTGTTTGGCTTCATTACAGCGTTGTTTGTGTGCTTCTTTAATTCTGTGTGGATCTCCATGCCCACTATTGCTATTCATCCAAATCCAAACACACTCCCTAGTTAGTACATTAGTATTATTGAACACGGAGCAGAAAGACTTAGTACACCTTTGAAACAGATGGCTGCACCAGCTTCAAAAAACCCAGAACCAGCTTTTTTCCTATGTGACTAATCAACTGCCCATGATGCTTTTCCACTGTGTCACTGATACTGAACGGCAATGCTGTTGTTGAAGTGGCATTTCATAAACAGTTACAGTTTTCTTTTCAGTAGTTTTCAGTGGGTTTGAGGTAGATTAAAATATTATTGGAAAAAAACAATTCACAGCTAACACATAGTTAATCGAGACTATTCTTCCAGTATGTAGACACGACATAAACAATTAAACCAACAGTGTGCGAAAAACTCTTTAAACCTTAACAATTTGTTTTTATTAGTAAATACTCCACTATTTTTCTCATACTGCCTGTGCTGCAGCACCTCTTTTTCACCCTCTGTCTGAAACCAGAGACCAGGCTGCTCTGATTGGTTAGCTGGCCACCTCTGTTGTGATAGGTCAACACCTAAAATATGTCCCGCCCCTTAGCCTATTCACTACAATGTGTTGGAGCTCTAGCAATAGAAGCGTGAGTGTTTCATAGTGATGTCATTATGTTGCAGAAGTAAACAATGGAGTCCAATAGCAGGGCAGGGGGGATTTTAGTATTCGCAGACCATTTACCAGCACAAAAAAACCTACACACTACAGGGAGTTAAGAAGATCAAAAAGCATACTGATCATTGGTCAGTTTGATCAATTTGACCTCGCTGCATTTGAAGTGCATATCAAAATGTACTTCAGAAACCTTGACAAGCGTGGTTTGAAAGCTTCAGCTACTTAAAATTCATCCTCTGAGTCTGTGGAGTAAAAAGCTGTTTGTTTCACATGGGACTGGATTGATATGGAAATTAAAAACGTATCTTCAAAAGAATCCCACCTTTGTCAATTAGGATAAATTAAGTTGTTTATTAAATTTGAATAATCTGTGTGCTTGTTATTCTAAGCACTGTTTTTACTGTATCACAGAGGTTGCTCATTGTTTAAATTGCACTATGGACCATTCACTTTGTTCAAATGGCCATTTAGTAAAACTCATTATCAAGTCAAGTTTGCCTTTGATTCGCAAATGAATATAAAGTAGAAAGTAAAAATAGCATGTTCTCTCCCACACCTGCTAAATACACTACAGTGTTATTCAGCAGCTGGGCTTAGACTATTTATGTGGGAGGCGGAAAGATAACAAATAGGGCATCAAATTATTTGGGAGGTAATTGCCTGTTATTCGGAGAAAATGCTGCCACAGACTGTGATAAGTTGTCACAACTGTTCTAAATGCTGCCACATTGTGTTGTAGGATAATCCAAATAGAAAGACATTTTCCTTGTGGTTTTAAGTGGAGCATATTTAACAACAGTACAGTATGTGTGGTAGAGCTAGATAAAAGGTTGCTGAATCAGTTTTGGGTCACAAGAGAAAAACATTTGGAAAATGTTGGTCCCCTGAATCAAACTGAGAATGTATTTTCATGTTAGAAAGTTTGTCTCCTTTCTTTGGAGGTTGCATGTTTAATAAACTATTTATAAGGTGTCTAATTTGTCCCGCAAAATATCTTCTAATTAATTTCCTTTCTGAGCCTTATTTAGCCTCTGAAAATGTCAGCAACATGGCGCTTGTCTTTTGCATACAGTTCGCCCCAGGATGTCTGAGGAAGCCTCCATTTCTGTAGTTGACTTGTTGTCTTGGTGTCTAAATTTTGTCTTTTTCTCTTTTTGTTTTTAGATCTCCCACTTGTCAATCTCTCAGTGGAACCTCAGCCAGTTATGGAGGGACACCTTGTGAAGTTCCACTGCTCTGCAAAGGCCAACCCTCCTGTCACACTGTACAGGTGAGATCATAACAAAATATATATTCCACGGCGCAAAAGAGTAATGTAATGTAAGATATAATGAACTGGTGGTACACTTAACTTCAAAAGGATTCTGTAATATTTATGTTGGTTGATAATTCATTGTATCAACATTAGTATTCAAATTAATCATTGACAGATACCTGCTCTTGATGCCCTGACACCATTATATCTGCCCGCTGTAGAAACAATTCCGATACTCTGTCATGTTGATCAAATATAATGAAAATGTACCTCTTTTGGGAAACCTTGTCTTGTTCCTTTGGGCTGCAGCAAAGCAATACAGGGCTGTGTTGCATAGCTGCTTGCTTTGTGGTCATATCATCTCCCTTGAACATTAAATGTCCATCAGCGTGTTGGAGGAAAGCTGGAAACATAATGTGCGTGACATCTGATGAAGCTGTCAAGATTACAGCTTTTCGGAGATTGGGTTTTGCTATAGCGACATTTTGAAGGCAGGTTACCCCCCCCCCCCCGGGGGTGTGCTGTGTTTTTATGTGTATGCTGTAAGGAATGTTTGGATATGGATGACAATGCGTACTGTAAGTTTGAGTTGAAGCCCATGCAGGTTTTATTTGAGTTTTATGGTATTTTTTTTTTTATTAAGATGATTCAAATGTCTCAAAAGCTGTGTTTACTATCAGTTGTGTGTTTGCTACACTTTTGCTGTTACTGTATGTCAAGGTTGATGACACAATACGTTTTCACTTTATTTAACTTCAAAGAAACATATCAAGGTGTTTCAATGCATTACCAATGCTTCAATGGTAAGCTTTTGTACCAATAAAACACAGTTGCACATTTCATACTTTTACCAGATGGCTGCCCATTTCATGCTCTAGCTAACCCTATATACCTTTTACTGTAGCCTGTATAAAACGTATTCAACAACCCTATCACAAGAAGGAATGCTGTTATTTCACAACATGCCAGATTACGTTCAATAACAGGTCTTGTTTATTTCTCTGTGCTTTACACCTACTGTTTAAATAAAGCATACAATACTACCTGTAGAGGCTCAACACTGGCATAGCTGTACGTTAAATGGGCAGTGCAGAATCATCCAATATCTGAGGGAGTCCCTGGGAAATGGGCTTGTAAGAAAATAAATGAAAAACAAATGACTAAATAAAGCAACACATCATGTTCATCATCCCATTTCCTGTTTCCATTATAATCCCAACCTTATGTTGATTGCCAAACAACTCCACTGAAAATACAGTTGCAAATGAAACATAACTTGACATACCGCAAATCAAGTTAGACCGAAAAAGAAAATGCAACAAAATAAACAAGTGTATTTGTAGACAAACCAGCCTTTCTTGTACTAAATCTTCACCTGGCAGCAGCTTTGCTCACATTAATGTAATACTTTTCATTTAAGAGATCAAGTCAACAAAGCTGCATTCCTCTTATCCACTTCCTCCGTTTGTTAAAGCTTATTGATGAGCACGTTCTCAGTAACACTTGTTGTTATTTATTGTATTACTTCTGTAATTGTGATGAAATAACTAAATGGACCGTTATTATTCTGATAACGTCTTGCATGGCCCTGTAGAAGTGTGATACTCGAGTGATTTGTCAAGAGATGGTTTTCTGCGTGGGAGGTTTTCAAAACATGGCGAAAAATAAATGGAATGAAATCGATAGCAAAGGGAATTGGCCGGCTCTGAATCTTGTAATGGTACTGGGAAATGAAATGGATGTACAACACACTCACAGGTGGCCAAACAGAGATGTTGCTGTTTTGATGGATTCTGCCCTTTTGAAAAAGAAAAGGGTAGAGGCCAGTGATATTGTGGAAAACAAGGTTTGTATTTGATTGTGTCGGTGCATAGACAGGACGGCTATCGCACCAGCAAAGAGATTTCACCTCTATTGTTATGAGAGACGGGATCAATGTTAAACTCAGACTTCTCCCCGGGGTATCAAGAGCTAAGACGTAATAGCAGTTGAGATGACTTCTTCCTTTTAGTTTGACAAACTACACAGTGAAAAACGGTTGGCTGTTGAAGCTAAAAGGGAGTAAAACTGCCACTTTCCCACTCTCTAATTTATTTCTTCCCTTGTCTCTTTCTTTCTTTATCTTGCTTTTGCTCTGGCTCTCTGTCATTGGAAGAATCCACTGTAGGATTACATAATATCACACAGACTAATAACTTCTCATACTTCAAGGTCATACTCTCCACCAGTTTCATAGTCTCCCATTTAGATTTATCTGCAAATGTATACACGCCTTTCAGGGCTCCCGTGCACCATTGGAGTTCAGGGCATGGCAGAAAGGGGATTTTTGGGGCTCATAATGCTTGCCTGAGAAGCTTCAACGAGAGAGAGAGAGAGCCCCCCCAAAATTCCCCCTATAGAGCAATATCACTGAGGAGGGCAGGAAGCTGGTCAAGCAGTGTGGGGCCATTTTTCAGTGCTAATACACTCTGTCTGCCCGAGATCAGATACGGCACAAGGACAGTTCTTAGACGGATGGCCTCTTTTCCATCCCCTAGAGGGCCATCCATTCCCAATGTGCACTGCGCCACTTTGCCATCGTCCAATTCAATGGACACTTGAGACACAGACCCAAGATAGCGGGGGCACTAGCGAAAGGCATGGAGCTTTCTGCTGCCTACCACCTGTCATGATTGCCACCCTGGCTCAATAAATCTGCCTTTGAACGTGAAAATGGAAATAAGATATATTTCTACAGGTACCCTGAACTTTTGCCAGAGCACAGCTCGAGGGGCCAGTAAAGAGGGAAGAAGCCAGGGGATCAGGGAGGTGTTGGTGTGGAGGCGGGGGGTTGGAAGAGAAGATGAAAGTGTGAGTGAAGTAAGAGTAATGGGCATGCCTGTCACTCAGCACTCAGGGAATCAAGACGAGTGGGTCGGAACATCTTCATTACTGTTTATAATGGCATGAGGGCTAACTGGCACACATCATAATCACTCAACCAGCCTCTGATGAAGACACAGAGGGTTTTCTCAGATCCAAACAAGAACCCACCAGAGAGAAGAGAAAGAATACCAAACAAAGCAAATCAGGTCCCATGTCTGCACACACAAGCACACAGCCACAACAAAATCTCATCCCATGCATGGCACTGCAGCAAAAAAGACATTTGAATCCTCACCACACTTCTTGTCTCTTTGTTGTTGTTGCTACTGCTGGATTTTTGCTTCAGACTTGTCACCACATTCTCCATCTTTTTTTCCCCTCTATATGCACACTTTTGAGGTAGCTAATTGATACATGTCACTGTTTCGGTGTCTTGAATATTATTATTTGCAACGCTTGTAAGCCACACATGTGTCAAGGGCAGTAATGTGACTCTGAAGTGTCGGTGGACTAAAGTTAGTTCTTAGGTGCAATGCCTGGAAAGTTGTTCAAAATTGTAGATTAAAGTGCACCTGCAAATACAAATCAATGCGACCATAACAAGCTGAAAATGACTCTGAAAAGTTTGGACTAAACATTTGAAGTCTGTTATCCGACTGAAAAGTTAACTATCAAACTGACTGAAGTGACCTGAATCCCCCTTCAAAGTTATTTGTTCAAGGTCTAATGGCATAGCCTATATGACTCTTTTTTCAAATGGATGGTATGCATATAACTACATTCCAGGACTCGCTTTATTCCTTGACATCAAATAAAATTGCTCTGTAATTAATGTCCAAGTCAGAATTACAGCATGCTGTAACCTAACCTGCATATTTATTTTATATTTCTCTGAGAATTTAATCGTCATCACTTTTAATATGCATGTGAGGGAGAGTGGAGCGGCGCTGTGCTGTGCTTAACCATGCTGATAATAACTGTGGGACCTGATTTACGGTGGGTCTTGATGCTGATGGCACAGATACCTGCCTAATTTAATTATTACTGTTTTATTACCTTAATCACATTCAGCAAATACAACCCCCCCTCCCCCTCCCACTTTTCCATGTCTCCTTCATTCTCTGCTACTATTCACGGCGCACGTGTTATCTCTACAACAGTGTCAGCTTCCAGACCATTGAGTATGGGAAAGCATGCATCTTGTATGCACATGCTTACACACAACCCACACACACACAGATACTCTTGAGCGCACAGGATTCACACCTTTTGTCTGAATCAAATCCCTGAATAGGAAGCAGCAGTGTAAAGTCAGTCAGCTTTTGAGTAAGCTCGCACCGGCTCTTCTAACCTCCCGATGGGAATGCAGGTGTTTGTGTTACCCTGGGCCAGCTATGTTTAGACATGAGTCTTGGACAAGGCCCAGCACATCAACAGAGCTCTCCTCAGACATCGGCATTCAGTCTCTATTCGCTCCAACACCGTCAAGGACTCCCAAACTTGGCTGCAGCAACCTCCTATCGGGAGCAGCAGACTGGCCCAACATCTGTCCTTACTCTCTTACAACTCCTACAGTATGAGCTGGTAGAGTGTAGATGGAAACAGTAACATGATATTTGAGCATCACACATCATTGTCGAAATAGTCAACATTTCCCCAGAGCACATTCTCCAAGACGTCCTTTTAGTTGTGCTGGAGCATTTGATCATGTCACATGGGCTTCATATGCTGATGGAGTCTATCCAGCTGTCATAGAAATGCCGTTAGTATTGTTTTCCTTCTAGGCACTATTTACTATTTATCAGTTGATAGAAAACTCCGGAACAGCTTATAAATGGACTTGAGATTTTTTTTTTCAGATAAGCCAATGTGATCAAGAAGTCCACAAAAAATGCTCTGAAGACTAAATTGAATTTACAACATCTAGACTATTCAACAAAAAGTTGGATACCTCCATCTGCTAATGAGGACAAGACCACAAGCTGGCCACACAGTGAAACTTACGGAGAGATTGCCAACTGCTTTTTTTTCGTTTTAACTTGTCACCACCAGGTGTTACTTATACCATTGATATTGTTCTTTACACTTCTCCGTCCAAGTATGGTATGCATTAGTTTGTTTACGCGAAAAGCCAGACACTATACAAGTAGTACTACCAGGTATGTAACAGGCCAAAAACAACTGTCTACAACATTTTTGAAAATAAAGGTGTTGCAAAGCTCTCTGCTGTATCCTTGTCACACATGAAAACAACTTTGAAAATATGTAGTACTGAAGAAAAAAAACAATCCCAGGAAGCCCAATTAGGATTCTGCATCACTTCACTTGCTGATTGAATGAGGTAATCTGTTCTCATTTAAATGATAGCATTTCAGTGAAGCATGAGGCCAGCTTAGTCAGGGAAAACAAATGAGTTCCCTATCCCGTGAAAACTGCTCTCCGTACCGCCAGGAATATAAAATGGAGACGGTTCCGTTGTTGTTGTTGTTTTTCATTTGCCACATCAGCATGCAGCCACATCTCTATTGTGGAGGATGGAAGAGTTTAGATGCACGATGCATTGTATGTCCCACAGCACCGTCAAAATGCTCCAAAGAGACCCAAGACATCAACAGATGCCTTCGCTTCACTTTTATAAATGGGCCTTGTCTGATGTAGCAGCAGAGAGCCATCCACACCACGCAGAGCGAGACGCCACTGCCCGTGACATCATAAAAGTCTCATCTAAACACGTGGCTGGGATCTGTATCCCTGTCACAGAAGCTATCACTCACAAACACAAACAGATGTTCTTTATGTGATCCCGTGTCAATTTATTTACATCAGCGGTTGTGTGTAATACAGTCCGTGTCAACCGACGTCTTCATAGGTAAGGGCGCTACCCATTTGTCATTCTGTGATTTGTTTTTCTAAGCTGGCACTCTGCGCTGCTCTCTGTGCCTCGCTTAATGAGGAACGTCTGTCTGCTCCCAGTCACCAGGGAGCTTGTCACAGCATGGAGGGCTGCCACCAAAATATGCTGAAGCCAGCACAGAAAAACCTTCTCCAGAATGATGATTTATTCGCACAAAAGAATGCTATTGACTGCAGTCTTAATTCCTCTCCCCCTTTTCCCTTCATTTCTCATTTCCAACCGTCTTCTAATCTCTGTCTCACCAGGTGGGCCAAAGGAGGAAGCATAATCAAGGAGGTGTCCGGCGACACATATGAGGTTATTGTAGACCACTCCTTCTTTACGGAGCCCGTCTCCTGCGAGGTTACCAACCCTCTTGGCAGCACCAACATCAGCCGCAATGTTGACGTCCACTGTGAGTGGCTCCTTAAGAAATACTGCATGCCTTTCCAATAACGCCCGCAGCGTGATAATGCATGGTTTATGGATTCTTACTGCCTTGTTTATTCTGACGAGGAGATGCAAGGGCTGGCGCGAACACAGCTGATGCTTGATTATTGATGTAGCACAGACAATAAATGATGTTTATGTCAACAGTTGGTCCTCGCATGGCTGCGGAGCCTCAGTCCTTGCAGGTGGACCTTGGATCTGATGCCGTGTTCAACTGTGCCTGGACAGGAAATCCCTCTCTTACTATAGTGTGGATGAAGAGGGGCTCTGGAGTGGTGAGTGTATTGATTTGTTACTGTGGCTTACAAAAGAGTCAAAGCTGCTTTTCTCTGATAAAGCCTATTGGACTTTAGATGTTTTCAGCATCATGAAATACTCTTGGTGGATTATTTGATGTGATAATCATGTGTTGTTAACCCTACGATTTTGAGGCTTTACATTCCCAGCCTATGATGACATGCTCTCAGTTGAGATCTGTTGATTTGATCCACACATTCCGACATTCCACCTTTTCATTTTGTCATCACCAAAGGCCAAAGCCAACCCATTTTCTCGACTGAGCTCAGACACTAAATTGGATTTTAATAATTGAGGAGAGGTGCCCTTTAAGGTATTAAATGGGGCCCTTTTTTGTCTCGCCTTCCAATAACATTGCCTTGTAGCTAACTCCAAAGTGAAGGTCCCTTTGCTGTCACTGCTTTTGACCGTCTTTGATTTTTGTTTTGCTGCAGGTGCTTAGCAATGAAAACCTCCTGACGCTGAAATCCGTGAGACAGGAGGATGCTGGGAAGTACGTTTGCCGCGCTGTGGTCCCGCGCGTAGGAAACGGGGAGAAGGATGTGTCTCTCACTGTCAATGGTAAGCAGTGTTATTGATATGTCTTTCACGCAGACAGGCTCAAATGCACACCCACAAAGTTGTCAAATGCATTCACATACAAGCGTGAATCCTGGGGTCAACAGTGGCAAAAAGAAATCAATTTGTCACAGGAGTCAGTCTTCTGTTCCCTCCGTGATATATAAAAGCCTTGAATCTGAAAAGCTTCCAACAGAATATGCAGCTTTATTTCTTCTCTGTATTTTCATTTGTTCTTAGTATCGCAGTTTCTTTGAGACACTAATGTGTGTGCGTGCATACACACACGCACACACATTAGCGCACCAGTATGTGGCACATAGCATGCACATGCTAATGAATTTTCACGAGAAAGCAAAAGAAATCGACTGTCATCACTGTGAAGCCTTTGAAGAGAAAAAGCAATAAATATAGACTTACTCTTTACAAGATGTGGTCACACATTGCATGAACAGGTGAAATGTACTAACATGCTAATTATATTCTGTGTGAGTCACAGTGAAGCTGCCTTTTCTGAGGCACTGACTGACTAATGAATACCAGCCTTGGTGGGGGACCTGGCAACTCTCAAACAAATGACTTCATTATCGGTGCTTGATATTCAGGAAGCAAGCCTCGCTGTGGCAGAGGTTCTTAGTTTTGGGATTTGCATCTAACATCTTCCACTTTCCACGTGTCCATCTGAGATAAATCGGAGACAAAATTAAGAAAAAAATGGTTTTAAGCAGCTGGCGGGATGATGTTGAACTAATGCTGAGATCATTGAACATTTTCGAAAGCTAACAAAAGAGTTTGCCTGTAAGCAACCCTGGTGCTGATTTGGGGTTGAAGATACATCAAGCAACACACAGCGGGTTAAGATGTTCTTTTCAAAACCCAGACGTCAGCTTTGCATTTCAGAGAGAATGGGATACCAGTATTCCCTCCAGCACAAGATCAGAACCATGACTTTCTACGAACTGCAACAAGCCCCCTCCTTCTTTGCCAGGAATTTGGTTGATATAAAGGCAGAAGAGGCGTAAGGAAAAATCATGACTAATTTATCCAATTCTGTTGATAGCAACCTACACTGGCATCCTTTCTGCCGCCTTAATGTCTAAACAGAATACATAACTTACAATATATCAGAACATGTCCATGTATCTCTTTGGAGAGCGTGTTGTTTTGAACAAAAAGACGCCGTGAGAGAAAGAAGATGGATTCTTTTAATAAAGATTATAACACAACATAACTCCGAGCAACCAACCAAAGCTGAAATGGCATGTTTATTTAGCCTCTGCGGACTTCACTCGAGCACTTCCTGGATGTCTCTTAGTTTGTCTTTTTATCTGCTCATATGCATCCTCTATTATTTTGCGTCTTGCACCTCCCTGCCTGCATTGGCATTTGACATTCAAAAGCCTGCTTCCCTTTTACCCTTCTGAATAATTGAAATTAATCAGTTTTTTTTTTTTTCGAACCACATGAAGAATCTTCTTACCCGGTCCTTGAGGCGAATCGGATTGTCAAACTTGTGAAAGTGCAAACACTGTGGTTGAAGTGGTGGGGGGGGTGTCCCTCCCGAGGTTCATTGATTGTCCTATGCCACTGTCTCAGTTGCAGATAAATCAGCTTTTAAGCCCTACATCACTGACATCAGCAGGACTCACTGGTTCCAGACAGTGAATAACTAACATAGCGGATGAGCAAGAGACCATGATACAGTAGATCTTGGGCAATGCTGTGCATATTTGACGCGTTCAGTGTCTGCTGTTGCACATTTAAATGTTTCTTTCCTGTTTGTTTTCCCTGCGGTTATCCCCCCGATTTCTTAAAGCCATCATTTAAATTCCATGTGTTTATAATTTGTCATTCAGTCTCGCGTCTCTGTCGTTGTGTGTCACTGGCTCCCACTGTGGCAAACCACATAGACATGAGGATTCCTGCTTTCCCTGGGGACGAATGTAATTTAATTATAATCAAACAGCTAGCAGGGGAGGCCGTTTGTGTTTAAGTCACTAATGGATACATATTGCTTACTCCAGTCAAACATTTTCAGAGTGGAAAAGCATATCTGCATCTCAAAAGCACTAGCCAAGCAACTACGTGTGTAAGAGAGGACTGTGCACGTCCATGCGTGTGATTATTTATATGGCATTTCATATATATGCATGGCTTTAACCATAGTCCTGCAGAAGTTGGAAGTTATGACATGCTTGAAAGGATTTCAATTGTGTGTACTTAAGGACCATATATTCATGCAATACATATTAATTCATATATCCACAAGCCTAAGTAGATCTGTAGATTTGTGTTAGGCACAATATGTTTAACGACATACAGTACTTGGGCAGTAGATAAAATCCCATTACTACAGAAAGGGAGAGGGATGGACGGAAAATCACTGAATATCCCACAGAGCAGGTTTTTATATATGTGTTTTTCTGTCTCTGGACGGCCTTTGTGTGTCTGGTTATTCTGCATATGAGCATTCAATTATTATTCAAACTGGCACCAACATCAATTGCAACACTGCAAATGAATGGAGAAGGAGAAAACTGCTTTTGAAATGCAACACACCTATACTAAAATGTAGCACATTACAAACTCAATTGCCTCATGCCTTCAAATTATGATAGTGAGTATGACTATCAGCAGAGTGTTCAGGTGTTCAAGCAAGATGTATCATATTACTGACAGCTGGTCTCATCTAACTAGCCACTTCCTTCCACCACCTTTGCAGAACATTTACAAACAGGCATTATTCGGATAAAGTCACCAAGTATTTGAAATCATTTTGATTAGCCTCACTCAAAATGTCACATTACTGACAATCTGTCTCAAGTCCTTTAGACTATTAAGGCCAGTTAAGTATTTAAAGTTAGCTCATGTTGCATTATTCTTGCTAATCCCTAAACATCCACATGCAATGCCGTTTGAACACACTGCCCAATTTGACGTCAAACCACATATAAAACCAACCTTAATTTGACCAGCTACATTTCAGCATGGTAACATACAGTACAGTATGATCTGCATGCCTGCAAGACTCACTTACTTGCATATACCTTCCAATAATTCCCCTCTATGTTTTAAAAAACTAGAAGTGGGGTTTTATTACAGGGATAGTGAAGTTTAGATTTGGAAGGTTTTTAGAGCACAACAGATCTGAGGTCAGCAGCTCCAAGGTGCTCTGTTTCTGTCGGGAGGGCGAATGGTTGAGCTATGCCCCTCGGTACATCCAGTGAAGTGGAAAGGAAGCTTGGAAATAAGCAGCCAGCCCATTAGAGGTCAGTTCCCGCTAATAATAATCCCTGGAATTCAACTTGGATCTTAAACTGGTAGCTAGAAGTCACTTCAAATATATTATCTCAACAAAGGCGAATTAAAGCAGGCCAACATAATAATAACAATATTTAGATTTTTTTTTCAAATTCCTGGATTTCTGTCAATGTTTTCTCTTCGATCATTTTCCTCGCTAATATCATCAGTTTGCATGCTCTTTAGGTGTAATTGCTTTGGCTAATCACATCAATACTTTTGTTTTAAATAAAAACATAATAAGTGGTTTTCCAGTGTTGGATAAAAATTGTGTATATTGTTATGAGGCAGATTAATCTATTAATGTGACCGTACCACAAAGTCTGTTTAAATAACTATTTCAGCACCATTTGACTTCTCATATTTAGATAAAGGGCTAATTACGGCTACAGGATGAACTGAAGAGTGTCATCTGTTCTGAGTTATTACTGTAAATGTATTTCACAGTGTGAAGCGATGACAGTATGGCTCGCACTGCATGCAGCAAAGTACATGGGGAGAAATGACAGTCTGGTCCCTGTTGTAAAGACGTTTTGAGCCAAAGCGTGGTGAGGCTTTCAGGAGAATTCGGGGTAAGAAAGGGATTATTTCTGCCCAAAAAGCTAAAACATGCACTTGTTGTGTTAAACATACTTGTCTTGAGACAAAATGTATATAAAGTTGTAGAAAAAGTGGTTTCAAAATATTATTTAAATTCTCAAATAGCTCTCGAACATCCCCTAAAATGGCATTTTTCTCTTGTCCCCGCTTCTTGGTGACCAACTTGCATGTCAAATTTAGCATTTAAAATAGGGATTTTATTTACTTTTGTTGGTATTATTCTATTGATATATGTCTCTTGTAATCGTAAATCAATTTGTTAAATCATCATAAACACATTTTAAATAACAGTAATTTTGCACAGAAGGTGTGTCCCTCAACATGCGTTCAACCCTGTTGCCCAAACCTTTTTAGATTGGCAGAGGAAGTGAAAAAACTGTAAGTCAGATGAAACAGTGGAAGTGACACCAGCAAGCCAAGTGCTCGTGCCATGGGTAGACCAAAACTAAGTCCTCTCTTTTATTTTTCATATGTTTACAATCCTTTCAGTCTTAAAAGAGTGTGGCACTCTAACCCACTCAACCCTGTTACTCATATTATCAGAATAAAGCATATTAATTTCAAAGTTGTCTTTCTTTCATTAGATATCCAAGTTTCTCCTTGCCTTGAAAGTAGCATTACATGCTACATCTAGCAATAATTCCTGAGGTTAAAGGCTCAAATTAGCATTGATTTTCAACCCTGTTACTTTCAACCCTGTTACTATAATTAGAGTAACAGGGGTAATTCTTCATTGGAAAATATACATTCGATGCCTTAGCTGGGCAAATCACTTTTGATGGTTTATTATCTGTTTTTCCTAAATACATAAAAAAAATTATAAAATAAAAGGTTAATTTTTCAAAAATGTTGGTATCTAAATTGTCCTCCAATTCTGGAATGACCCATATATTGCAATTATTTCTATACAAGTATGTATCTATATCTTTACCCTGTGATTTTACCTCAGAAACCTGAAGGTATTTACTGAACTAAATNAAAGAATGTTGATAGAAAAGACAAAAAACACATTTTAGTTGTGTCTTAACCATTAAGATATATAATTTAGAGCAGTTCTCAACTGGTGGGTCGCGACCCACTTTTACTTGGTCAATACATCGCGACCCAACATTTTGAAGCACTCAAATCTATGTAACAAAAACATGTGCTGTAATATATACGTTTTTCAGCATACAATATTAATAAAAGTGAAGTACACTGCATATATCCCATATATCCCTTCACAGAACTAAAGTATGCTTTTAAAAAAGGTTTAATGAGATGATGGAATCAAAGCTGAACTATATAGAAAGGCACTCATGCTGAAAACCCAACCCCAGCAAGGGGGTCTGGGGGGATTCTCCCCCAGGAGATTTTTAGAAATACTAACATAAACTACGCATTCTGGTACACTCTGAGAAGAAAAAAATAAATACATTTATTACTACCCGACATATTAATAATATTTTATGCCATTGTTTGTTTTTCACTTTGTTCTGACATCTTGCAAAGAAGAGTAAAGAGGAGATAGTCTGTGTGACTTACTTTAAATTGTGGGTAAGGGTAGATAGCCCCCATTGTTCTGTGACCTATCAATCATCAAACCGGGGGTCATATTTCATTATGTGTTTATTTTTATCTGAAGTTGTACCCATGGATGTATAAAGAAGAGTTCTACCGCAAAGTTATTCTCCGTGGGGACTTCCGGCAACAATCTTGATTCTGATCAAAGGCCAAAAGACTCGAAAAAACATCAGCAAAGATATGTTATTGAGAAGATGATCACTACGTGACAGAAGTTTTCAAAACCGTTTATGGTCTCCGGTACTTCCAGTCCAACGCCGACTGCATGCACAGCGTTAGAAAATCGGGCCTTCAAAATAAAAGTTTGACTTTTCCCCCCAAAAAAAAAAAAAGAATTCCAATTTTCTTTTTCAATTTTTTTTCCTCACTCACACATCCGCGACTCACTCGAAACGGTTGAGAACCACTGATTTAGAGTATATGCTATGCTAAAACCTTTTGTACATACAGTACAGTATAAACCTCAGTTGAGATTTTTTTCAAATTCCATAAAAATAAAGTTGTTCAAAATTAGAAATGTCATCAACTTTGAACTCCAAGATAGTTATTCACAGTTACCCTGCATAGCCTGAATCCTGATGCGTTTGATGTGCTGTAGGTGTGAATTCGTTTTCTGGTTTTACATCGAATGCAGCTCTATGGTAATTGCAAGTGCTGACCCTCAGCCAACACTGCCTGCTGAATGTAAAACACACTTTGCTTCCTGCTTGCTATATTTAAAAGAAGGAATTAAACCATTGTCTTGAAAATTAATACTTTCTGTCTGCTGACCTATTCCCCTGTACCATAGGGGAAGCTGTGTTTTCTATCCACTTATCGCAAATGATCAATTATAAGCTGTTTATGTGAAAGGGACATTGATTAATGAAAACATTAAATAGGCTTTAATGGTGTAGGAAGAGGACTTGGTTGTTTTGCATTTGTTTAAAATGCGAGAAGGTCATAAACGTGGGCTGGTAGCTCAGGTCATTAAAGTGTGCTTTAATGAGAGCTTGCAGTGCTCATAGTGTGCAATCTCTTCCTATTCGCTAATGCACTGTAAAATCCTCGCAGAAACACACAAACATGATTATGCCTAAACGAATGCACGCAATCTTGTACTCAATGAAAAGAAAAGCCTCTGGTGAAAGTGTTCTATTAGCCTAAATGAGTGTAAATTAAAAGTTATTGGACAGTAGGATAATGAGACAATATTAGTAGGAAAATGCGTACCCGCACTCATAAGAAAAGGTTTGACAATTCGTTTTCGTTTAAATTGCAGTACAGAACTTGTTTGTCTTTGGCACTGAGTCTGTGTATTTTCATTTCATAACCTAATTCCCTTAGACTAGAGCGATGAAATACAGCAAATGTTTTCTTAGTTCCTGTTTGTTGCAGGGACAGAAAAGAGACCAGGAGTATTTGTCCATGTGTGTGCTTCACCTCTGAAAAGTGACCTCTGTGCTGCTGTGTACTCTCTGTCATGTATTGAATTGAGTGTACATTCGAGATGTGTGTCGTAAGTTACGGTTGAAGGACATCTTTCCTTGTTTCTCTCCGCAGATTCTCTCCCTATGGCGGTTATCATCGGCATTGCAGTGGGAGCTTTTGTGGCCCTCATTGTCCTCATGGGCACCATCGGAGCATTCTGTTGCACTCGCTCCCAGAGAAGTACGTCTCCTCTCCCCCTGTTACATCCACTTAAGCATGCATGCCAAAGTACTGTATCGCCCCCAAAGCACACTTGAAAAAAAAAATGTCCATCTATTTAAATGTAGATATATTTGTTTTCATTAAAATGCTTGCAAGATTTCCTGAAAAAGATTTAGCTAGAACATAATGTCACACTGAATGCTAGATTATAAGACTTGTTGAGATGGACATCTTTTTGTGCTGTCCAGATTGTAATAAGGGCTCATTCCATGCAATCTCAGTCTGGCTGCATTCGCTTTTTTGAGGCTATTTACATCCTGCGCCATGTTCACTGCCACCCACCCATGTACCAAGTGACTCAGGTTAGAGGCAGTCAGCCACTGCCTTTAACCAAGAACAGATTTGTGCTACTGGTCCCTTCAGCATGTCTATTGTCTGTATACTACAGAGGAAGCGCACCTGGTTATGCCCTCACTGCCCGTCTCCATCTGTGCTCACCAGAGAGAACTTGCAAGCAAAGTTAAGACAGAAAGTAAGACTTTGTTATATGACAGTATCATCAGCATTGTCCCAAACAGAATGAGCCACCGTTGAAGGCTGTGTGAGATGTGTGCAGAAAATGATAATCTTGTGTTGGCACGAAACAAATGATTAATAAATGTTTTGTAATGTTGTGTTTTTGTTTGGGAATAGGGGGAGCGCTCACAAAGCAAACCCAGGGATCTGTGCTAAATTCTGTAATACTGCAAACTGCACTTAGGGGAAATTATAATGTCAACTAGTACAGAATGGTGTTTATCCAGCTTATTGAGATATACATGCGTTCTGTTTCTGCCAGATCTGAAAGGAGTCGTGTCTGCGAAAAACGACATCCGGGTGGAGATTGTCCACAAAGACCACAACGCGGCACGGGAAAACGAAGAACACACCTCCATGAAACAACTGATGGTGAGTGTGAGTGTCACAAATTTCTACTTTTCACTTCTCGTGTCTGTTTAACAAATGCAATCTTTAAATGTTTGTATATTCTTACCATTCCCAAGCTGTCGGGTATATTTTAATTGGCGATCAATGTATTTGTATTGATATTTCCTGTGGAATATTATGTTTAATGAGAAATGAATGACCAGGATGTAAATATGTTCTTTTAGTCAAGGCATAGCGTCTATATTTATCACTATGATGCCACAAGTATTATAAACCGAACCGACCCCAATACATTGTAACTATGCAGATGCATACTGGGTAATCCTATAGTGGGTGTTCTTCTGTATCTACATGCCTTCTAGACACACAAAGAACTGTTTCCTCATTGGATCCGCACCAGTGTTTTGGTTATTATGAAACTTGCTCCAGGGCTCCGGCTATTTGTGGCGTGAGGTTTTACATTTTCTTTGAAAAACACCTAATACGTTTAGTACTTGGTTTTAGTTCAGGGAAATGAGCTTAGCTCACTCACAAATCTGCATTCTGTTAAGATAAATAAAATATATTCACGGATACATTATTAATGCTCCCTGCCAGCTCTGAGTGAAGGGGAAACATGTCTGACTGATATTCAAAGAATAACAAGAGATGAAAGTAAAATACTTCCGCCTCAGAATGTCTTTTCCCTCTGAGTGGAAGAGTTTGGGAAACTACACAGACTCTTTGTAAATACTTTTCTTGATTTCCTTGCAGGTTGAACGCGGAGAGTTCCAGCAGGAGTCTGTTCTGAAGCAGCTGGAGGTATTACAAGAGGAAGAGAAGGAGTATCAGCACATTAAGGTACGACTGGTGAATAACGACAGTATGAGGGCGGGTAAAAGGTGTTGAGGGGGAGAAGCCTTTAGGGTATGCTGGGTCTTTAACTCTGGGACCAAAATAGCAGAAAAGCGTTAATATCTCTCCTGCAAGATCATTCCAGAGGCGAAACGACTTCGATAGATGCCTGATTTGTATTAATGAGTCTCTCATCAAAGGTGGTTTGAAGAAATAGAAGGCTGGTGACCCTTAAGCAGTTTTTTAAGTATCTTCAAGTGTTACTTAAACCATAGAGAATTTATTAGGTACACTGATTTTGCTCTTTTCTCACATTTCTAAACCAAGGTGAATTATTATTCAATACTTCGAAATGTGTTCAAAGTGTTCTTTAAAGCAACATCATGTTCCCATTATTGTGCTATCTGTCAGCTTAAAGCCATCGTGACCTGCAGACAGACTTTATGACACAGCCATTCAATCTCAGAAATGAAACATTATTAGAGTTTGTTTCAACTGTAACAATTATGCACACCACTCTTCACAATCCCAGTGCTGTAATATCAGTTCCGGATGACTGTAGGTACTTCAGGTGTGTTCGTGAAGTCTTATAAGATCAATTTTCTTAGATACTTTACATTTATTGATGCACACTTAAAAAATGCTTTACATAGATTAAAAATACACTATAGTAGTTTATGGTAAACTCTTTAATTTGCAACATATCATTTACGAAGCTGTAGAAAGCCAGCAAACGTATCATCTTCTTATCAAAATCCCACATCTCTATATCATCTCTTTGAGTCAACGTGATAAGCCTAATTATAGTGTCTTGACAACCAAAGCTAAATCACAAATTGTAATCACATCACCAATAGATACTCAGCATTTATATAGAATCTTGATATATGAGTCTGACCCAATGTTTTTGAGCGAAGCCAGGATTCAATTATTGTAATCAAACTGACGTTAGTGCTGTACATAGTTGCCCGCCCATTTACACGGCCATGAACGGATCAGTCTGTACAGACAGGGCGCTTTTCTTTCAGTTCTCCCATCGCACTTGAAAGCAATTTTGTTCTTGTAACTCCTGCAATAAAGCATCAACTTGCTACTCGGCAGATTGTACATTCATCTCCCTTTTCAATGGCTGATATGCCGTCTGCAAGTGAAGGCCACCTTGTGTACTACAAGGCTCCATTCGTTGCACTGTGTGGTGGATTGTTCTGTGAATTTTCTTTATCGCACTCCCTTTGTCAAAAGTAGAACAGTTTTTTTTCCAAACACATCACTGGGGAAATAAACCCACTTCTGTAAAGTCACTGCGTGTAATAAATATTTACAATCACATATTATATTGTGCAAAAGTTTAATTTAAACAAACTGTTGTCACTAAATCCTCCAAAGAATCCTCCAAAGAAAACTTGGTAACAGTCTCCCTGTACTTTCCCTCTTTTTCAAAATGTACATAAAGATGCTGTTAACGTTATTCCAATATAAGGCGAAAGTGTTTACTTACCCTGAATAAAACCCCCCTCTGTGCTTTGCATGTATCTGTAAATCAAGCAGAACACATTATCTCAGCAGGTGTTTATTCCACCTTAAACCTGTATGCTTGTTGGCAAGACTGTAGATTAACTCCCACACTGACTTAAATCTAACAAACAGGATTTCACCATTCTGACTTTAAATGAGGGTGTAGGAGCCACATGTAAGGTCTCTATTTATTCTGTGTTTATTATTATGTATTTTTTGTCATTTTAAGTGGTGGGTGTGTTCGCTTGAGGTTGGGCGGTTATTGGTTGTCTGCTTTCACCTGTTTCTTGGCGTTGACACAGAGAGGGAGTGAGGCTGGGTGTAATATTTTTTTGAATTGGACCCATGTCAAGCCCCTTTTTTGGACTGCCTACAGCTGCCATAGAGGGAAAATGTCCATTCAGACTCTTCAGTATAGGCTTATCAGTGCCACAGGAACAAATTCTGACCTGTTCATTTTTTATCCAAACCAATGTTGCCGTTGGCTCTCTGGAGTGTGCTTTTGTTCTGTTTGCCTGCTTAGCTTCTCCCTCCGGGGCCGGATTTGTTTGATCCAAGTCATTGACAGCGTGCAGTAGGCGAGAGCAGAGGGGGGACCGAGCGAGTACGAAGGCCAGACGCAAACAATCTCCCTGTCTGCTGTCTGATAATGACAAGCATAACGACAATCCTCTCGGGCCGTCTCTCTCATTTCCCCTTTCCAGCAGTTTGCCTTTGAGATTTGCCACCATGCTCGCTATGCGTGACATTCATATACATTCGCAGGAAAAAAACACACACACACACTCGTACCCTAACTGGACCCTTAGCAACAGCACAGTGTCTGCAGCCGAGCAGACAAACACGTCGCACAGCTGTAGCCTCAGAAGCCATTTCAGTGCAAACATGAAACGGCAGACACTACAATCCGTTTTGGTCCAATTAAAGCTGGTATGTGAGTGAACTTTGCAGTTACACGTTGGATGCCAAACTATGAATCATCAAGGCCCGCTTAATTAGCGGGAAACATGATTTTAAGGTTAGCGTGGGGGCTGACTAAATCCGTTTTTTCTCCTGATGTGCACGGCAGCCTGCTTATTTATTCTGAAATTTGAAAGGTAATGACTGCCAGTTTGACCTTGGCTCCTGTTGAGCACTGAGACAATTACAAGTAAATGCTTATAAACAAAGGCATGGTTTTTATTTTTTCCTATATTAAATTGCTAATATGGATTCAAAAATTCCATTAATAGGGACGCTGCAAGTCTGAAATGGTAGAGCTGGCGGCCCATTGGCTCCTCCCTGCTGAGACAGATGCATGTTTGAATCCAACCAGGGGTCCCTTTATGCGTTTCAGTCCTCCTTTCTCCCACTCTCGCTAATAAAGGATACACTGGCTCCCGCAAAAAAATATGATTATTATAAAATTTAAGATTTGAAAGCTTTATATGCATCAAAGCTATAGCCTAGTGTTGTGGCGATCCAGCATAACACACAGGAAAGAATGAAACAGAGAGGAATCAATAAAACACAAACACAGAAATAGTAATTAGATTAATCATTATTATTTAGTTGCACACCATCAAATAACAATGGGGAAACATTACCTGCTCTCTAGCAATCATACAGCAATGCTCCCATGAATACAAGAAACACAGGGGCAGATATACGTTTCTAAATGACACACGAACATGTTCCCTAAACATGTTTAACGCACACACATTGTCAGGTCTCCTAAACTTGGACATGTTCCAGATGTCGAAAGGTCATCATCTCATGACCTCTTTAGGAGTCTTGCAGGATTATCCAATTAACAAACTATATATACGTCTGCACATGAACGCACATACATTTCTTTCATTAACTAACACTTAACACTATCGTCTAAATGTAGCCTCTTTGCATTTCCTCTGAGCTTGGCGTCAGCTCACTTAACGTAATAATTAGCAAAGAGACGATTCTGTGGAAACTGTAATTCAATAACATACCTAGTTACTATGACTAGGTCCAAGATTGATATAACACTAGTTTTGGCAATATAAAACCACAGGCTCCTTTTACACTGCAACACAAAATATACTTAATTAAGACATCAAAATACATTAGAATAGTGCAAGAAGAAATGAACATTTATGGTGCAAGGGAAACAATAGAGTAGGGCTGATGTGGCTTAGTGGGTTAGTGCGCTAAGCGTCAGATCAGGGGAGCACCGGTACAATCCCTAGTGTCCACTTTGCTTTGGGTCAAGCGTATAATAAGTAACAATGTAATGTAAACCAGGATGAAATAAAAACAGAATGTAAAAGTATGTGGAATTAAGAAATACTTTTTTCTCTCCTGTGTTTCCAATAGGACCCCACAAACGGCTACTACAGCGTCAATACCTTTAAAGAGCACCACACACCCACCATGGCTGGGAATCAGGCCGCTGAGGTGAGGAACCCCACCAACACAGGGACCCTGGGAAAGCAGCGGGTACCAACGGGCATGTCCTTCACCAACATCTACTCCACCCTGGGAGCCGGACCCAACCGCCTCTACGACTACAGCCAGCGCTTCGTGCTGGGCATGGGCAGCAGCTCCATCGAGCTGTGCGAGCGGGAGTTCCAGCGCGCCTCGCTCAGCGACTCCAGCTCTTTTATCGACACGCAGTGTGACAGCAGCGTCAGCAGCTACAGTAAGCCGGACGCCTATGTGCAGTTCGACAAAGACAGCAAAGCGTCCGCCTCCTCCTCCTCCCACTACTCCCAGTCCTCCTCGCAGAACTCAGACCTCACCCGGCCGCTGCAGAAGCGCATGCAGACCCACGTCTGACCACCTGGGAGGGAGAGCGTTGGAACGGTGGTGTAAAAAGCAGCCGGGATTGTGAGACTGTGACAGAATCAGCTCCCAGGAGCCCCCACAGCAACAATGTTACTGTTACCTCTGGACGCTTGAAGACGCATGGGGCTGGCTGCCTTTAATACACTGTCTGACTTGTTCAGACTTCTCAGTGTCCCAAAAAGTGGATCAAGAAGCCTTATATTTCCCTCAAACTAAAACCATCAGCCACCTCTTTTTAGAACCCAATCAGAATTGTGCCACAGAGAGGTTATTTGCCAACACAAGTTATTTTTTGTAAATAATTTGGACATTCATTACTCAGTTTCTGCCGTGGAATTGTTAGCAGAGGGCAGAATTACTACACGGGCTTTGTGTGACAATCAGCCCCCCTGGCAAAGACCATTCTTGCCTTTTTGAAGATTGTCATTCAGAAAAACTGGAAATGTTGTTATGAGTGTTGAAACACTCAGCACGAACGTCACGATAATGAGTGTGAGCCAATGTCCTGCTGCTCTCTTGTAGTTTGAAGCACAAAAATGAATGTGCATGTGGTTTTTAGTTGGTAATGCAATAACTCGTTCCTCTCCCCACCTTCTGTTCAAACACTATTTTAAGCTTGGCTCGTTAAAACTCGTCTCTTGTGTAGGTGGGAAAATGAAACGTTCTCCATGTGGCCACAGACGTCTTGGAACGTTTAAAAAAGGACTGCTCTTTGTCTCCGCGGCAGTATCTGGGCCACAGTGCTGGGCCGATAAAGAGGGGGCTGAGATCTCATTTTAAATCCCTGAGTCATTACTTTACTGTGACACAAAAAGAAAACCAGTGTATATACATGACTGTAATTTATTTTCTAGCGACTCTGATTTCCCTCATGGAGGACTTTAAATGAGACGGCCTCTTCTTGTCCACAACGACTTTGCCTTGAGGGTCCGTTTGATCTGTGTCAATACAAACTTTGACTAAGAGAGATAGACATCAGCTGTTCTGTTGACGGGGAGCTGCATCGTCCGAGGTGTTACCGCCTAATCCAGCTCCGAAGCCGGCAGGAAATCCCACAAACTGCAACATGAGTTGTTTTTGTGAGTTTCTCCCGCGAGCGCAGCAGATCATCAGCCATACTCTTGAGGGTACCTGTCGAATGAAATGTAAACATTATATTTTATCTGAGCTTCTTATCGTGTGGTTATCCCATTGCTATAGAGTCAATATCACTGTTGACACTGGAGCTTAGTGTACCCTGACTGTGAACCTACCTGTGATCGTGCCGGTCATCAGGGGACATATCGAGCACATTTAGAAAAACCTGTTTTATTTTGCTCTCTGCTGTTTATCTTTAGCTACTGTGGAGCTGATGGTGTCACACTGATTCTCTTCAGTGCATCCTTTTATTTTTTTATTTTTCTGTTCTGCACTGTACGTGACATATATGACATCTGATTTATTATTTAATCACTGACACTGTATTTGTTTTGGTTGAGAGTAGAGACAGCAGTGATTTAACTTGCAGCTACAAACGCTCATACTTTACGTAACATTTCAAAGTCAGCCAGTTGTCAGAAGTGTCGTAGTCATGCAGCGTGCATTTATTAATGGAAAAACAAAGTAATGATGGGGAGTGATGTATTTTTGCAGTACTGAACACTGGGAATCCGTTCTGTGTGCATAGTGCAGATTCTGTGGAGAAACGGGTCAAAACCATATGCACCATACAATGTCAACCTAAATGTAGACCTCTAGATGACATTCAAATCATTGTTTTCTTTGTGTTAAAGAAGACCCTTTGGTTAAGGCAACTCTTTACAGCAGACAAATGTCATGTATTGCATTTCACTTGAGTTTTTAACCATTTAAAACCTCATATTTCAAGGTCGGTTTAAGAGAAATTTCATGAAAACAGCTTGCTTGTTATTTTATCTAGTATTTGAAAGGTAGAGAGGATTTCTTAGAAAATAACAGCACAATACTTCAAACTAAATATGACAAAGAGAATATTAGGTTTCAATTTATCTTATGTAATAAGATGGTTAAGTATCTTCCGGAGCGGAGCATTCAATGGGGATTTAGTAAGCGCAAAATATAAATAATAATAATCAAGCACGGCATTTCAAACAAAAGCAAGTCGTTGTTGGAAGCACTTTACGTTTGATTATATTCAGGGCATTTGAATGGGGTTTTCCACTTGAGTGGCAGTGGTTTGGACTCTAATTTTACAAATGGATTGGCGCCCATTGTACAGCTTAAGACAAAAAGCTCTGTTTCAACGCTGATAATCCAGCTTGGCACTTAACAGACTGTGTATAAATCTTTAACGCTGTCTTTCTCTTCGTATCATTTTTCCTAGCTTCTCTTTTCTTTCTCACTCGGATTCACTATATTAAATCTCGCAAAGCCACGTGGCATCGAAACTGTACCACAGACAATCATTTTTCTCTTTGTTCCCTTTCCAGAAATGTCGTCAACTTTACTTGTTTCTCGCAAATTCCAAGAAAGGCCTGTGTGAGCACTTTCTCTTCCCAGATCTCACGGGGGGGAAACTCTTACTCTGTACACGGAGCACACGGGAGGCTATAGGATGAGAAGCTGAGCTTAGCTGGGACAACTTTGAAGTGAGTTGCAGTAAGAGGTTATTACACCCTCAGCCCTTCTGAGAGATGCCCAGTTGCCCAGCAATATATTGCATTAGGCACCGTGATGACTGTCAAGTATGCCTGTACCATTTTTGATATATATTTTCCCAGCATTTTTGGGTGCGGGATCAAATTCATACCTTGATTTCAGAAGGAGTCAATTACAGTTTGATCTAGTTGGCATGGGATGGGATTCCGTTTTTATTTTTTTATTATTTGCATATGTTATTTTTTTATTATTTGCATATGTTATGCATCCTTTTACATCTACAGCTTCAGAATTCAATCATATTGACCATTCAGTTTCCAAACACTTAGCCATTCTCTCTCTCAAAACAAAACAAATGTCCTCTCCAGTGGTCCAGTTTGACTTATCTGATGCCGCTCCGCACTGATCCAAACGTAATGCATTTTCCCAGTCCAGAGAATCTGCACACAGATAAATATTTGATAAGCCAGCCTTCTGTCCCCCCCCCCCCCCCCC